CACTCATCGGACCGGAGTTTGGGACGCCGTGAAATTAACCCAATCTAGCATTAACTAAATAACTTATCAAAGTGAATGTTTAAAATATGACAGATATGCATTTTTTTGTTTTCTTAATTCGTTGCCAGATGCTCGTCGTTGTAGAAGGGTTTCTGATGTTGAGATGTTTTATAAGAACAGTCTTTTATCAAATTATGTTAAGTTTAGTATTTTTTTAGCTCTATTATAATACTTTATCTGTGTTTTAGCGGCAAACGAGGAGATCAAAGTAAGTAAGGGCAGGTACATTTTATAGGGAAGCAAAATCAAAATAAAAAGCAGATTTTGCTTCCCGCTGAGGTTTTACATCCTCACTAACTCAGGACGTGTTTGACAGGAAAACGTTATCAAGTGTTTTAATATATCTACAAATGGAACATATAAATTCAATGACGTTTCAATGATTTAATGTTAATAAAGTATATAAATAGAAACTCCATGCTACTAAATAAATATAGAAATCCTTCCACAATGAAGAGCAAAAGGCACTGAAATATGAAGAAAGGGTTTTTTTTTGACGCAAACTTTACTACAAATAACTGAAGATCTTTGTGTGCACAGCGGCAGCACTGGTCTGTGAAAAGTAATCAACCAGTCCATGGTGTAAAAAGGTTGGGGAGCACTGCTGAAGACGAATATCACATCTGTTTTTGTTTTCTTTTGTTTTTTGTTTCTTTCGACAGTCTTATAAATGTCTCTTTAATCTGCTGGAGAGTGGATCTCGGGGCTTTGAGCCAGGGAGTAGATCTCCTGATCCTCTCCTTTGTTTGTACAATGCCTTGGATTCTGAGCGACTGAGTATATCCCGGACCCCTCTGGTCTTCCTGCAGTGCTGTAGATGGTGGAGATCTTTCTGTCGGTGCTCTGAAAGTCACAGATTTCCTCATATTTCTGGTAGCTGCAGTCAAACTCCTGCAGAAATAATTCCTATCAGTAATCAAAGGCTAAAATACAGGATTATAAATAAGTCATTATATAAACTTTTCTTCTCACCTCTTCATTACTCTTTTCTGGCAAAAACCCAACAAAGACTGTTAAAAGACAAAATATTATTCACTAGTTTGTTTTCTAACCATGTGATGTCCAAGATATAAAACTCTTTTGGTGCTTTATTTAATGTCACCTAGCAAACACTTTACAAATACAATATTAACTGATTAAACTCATTTCAAGAGGGGATTAAGATATTTTTTACTAATTATTCGCTCAAGGCCAACTTAACCTGTCCACGAACGGCATCCCTCCTCCCCCTCGTCACCTCCTCCCTCTTTTATTTTCCTCTATCTATGTCTGTAGTCTGAACAGTACAGTTAGCTGTCGAGGACGCAATAGCACTCAAAATTCACTCAAATAGTCCTTTGTTGTACCAACTCAGGAAGAAAAAATATATATAGAATGAAAAACGACTCATGCGCTCAACACACAATTTAAAAAAATGCATTTTTTAAAGCCCAGTTCAGGACGGAATCACTCAAAAAAGCCACAGTAAAAGATTCCAAAAGTTTGAATTCTGATACTTGCTGTAATGATAAGTATGATGAGCACAATTTAAACAGTTGCCATCTAAACATTTAAGTTTTCTGTGGTTAATAGATTCAACACATGGAACGACAATTAAATATATATGAAAAAAAGGAGTGGCAAAGATCGGCTTCAAAGCTTGAAAATGGAACGGTAAATCTTGATAACAAACCACGCAGATCTCCTTGAGTAGAGTGCATACGGCACAGGAAGCTCTGTGTGAATAAGAAACTGGAAGGTTGCACAGGATTCCAGAAGCATTGCGTCTTTTTATGACGAATGCCAATAAGAAGCTGGATTCATCTCCGTAAATTAAAAATATTTATAATTACAATATAAATGTATATATATATATATATAAATGGATCTGCGATGGACTGGCAGCCTGTCCAGGGTCTACCCCCGCCTCTCGCCTGATGTGCGCTGGAGATAGGCACCATCAGACACCCGTGACCCGAGGGAAGCGGTTGGAAGATGAATGAGTATATGAATATAACTGCAGAAATGTGTTATTTATACATAACAATTCTTTATTGTTACTTTTCTTGTGAGCCCATGGGATAAGATGCCCCCTTCTGGCAGCTTGTGTCTTACACAGAATTCTGGAAACACTCAATCAAAGAAAATAGTTTTAAAGAAAGGGTTTTCGAGATGGACTTCATAAATCATGGCGTGCTTTCACAACATTTTAAAAGACATTTATTTTACAAACATGTTTTCGAGGGAAGAGTGTAACCGACCGTTCTGAGGGAGCGCTGACGGTGTTTTCTTGCTCCTCTTCTTCTTGCACAACACTGTGGTCGCCAGGAGGAAAAGGAAGAAGACGAAGACGAAGCCGAAGCCGAAGCCGAAACTGACGTATTTCACAGAGTCTGTGCTCAGCTCTCGACCTGTGACACACATATAGAATCAGATTCTTAACAAATCCTCCTGCTCCTCCTGAGAAACCTGACCTGGGGTTGAGAAAGGATGCTGCTCTGGAGCCGTGCTGATGCTGCTGGGAACATTCGCTTCTGTTGAGAAGATGTCTGATGATGATGATGATGATGATGATGATGATGATGATGTTGTGCTGGGAACTCTTCTCCGAGTTGACTTCTCATCTGAAGATTGATAAGAATATTGATCATAAAGTCAGATTTTCAGATGTTCAGAATGTATTTCAGGACAGTTGCACTTGTATTTGTATTTGAGAGGAAGGAAAGCGTTTCAAAGTGAAATCTCAGCCCTTTACCGACGGAAACATAGATAAAGTTCAAACTGTTTTATTCAGAGCCGATCACTTACTGTTTATAACGATCAAAGAAATCTTCTGATAGTCATCAAAAAACTGCCCTTCCACTCCACACCAGTACTCTCCAGCATCCTCTGTTCTCAGATCAGTGATGGTGATGGTGAAGACCCTGCCCTCAATGTTGTCCTTCAGAGAAAACCTCTCATGTTCAAATCCAGATCCTGACTGAACTATTTTGTTTCTAAATCCAAGTAGACACCTCCCTTTACACAAATACTTCACATTTGACGTGTATTTAGCTTTATATCTGCATTTGATCTCGAGCTGCTCTCCTCTGTTTCCTGTAACTGTTTCTCCAACAGCAGCTGCAAACAGAAATATAATCAAACAGATCGATTATTAGATAGAAACCAAACCAGAATCTCCTGAACTCACCCGTGCAGATGCTGCAGAAGAGCAGCAGATCTCTCCACATGCTGAAGCTTCGGGTTCATTCACAAACTCTGCTCCTTCTAGTTCGCACTGAACGCTCTGGGTGGTTCTTCATCTAAAACTGTTTCCTTCCTCTTTCTGAACACAACAGCACACACTTCGCCTATTTCTGATATCCTTTACTGAAATTGGTGCACAATGATTCAATTCAAGGTTAAAGTTCTGATCTCAGGAGCTTCCAGCTTTGAACATCCATCTGTTGTCCTGACCTTCTCTGGTCAGTGTATTAGGGAGTGCGGTCTCAACAGGGAACCACAGACTTCTCTCTTTCTGAACACTTCCTTCTTGAGATGCAGTCGCCAAACTTTGCCAAAATATCCAAACTGGTCTGACTAAAGGATTTCTGGAAAATGTTCCATTGACTTAACATGAAGTCAGCTGTAACTCCAACTGAGAACCTCATAGAAGCTTTTGTGCAAGAACATAAACACATCGAAAAATTAAATGGAAACGGGAAACATCATAGAGAAATGGGGCTTGGTTTATGCTAATCAAATCAAATTTGCTCCCTAGCAACCAAACTGTTTACCATAGTAACCATATCTCAGCTTACGAAGATGACAGAGTTGTTGGTTTATATTTCTAATTTTTGCACTGAGAACTTTGTATAATCTCAATAACTTGGTAACCTTGGTAACCATTGCATTTTGCTGATAAAAAATATTTTATGTGGTATATTTTTATAAGCCAACATCAGAGTTTAGCCACCAGGTTGTGTTTATTGATTCAAAACATGATCAAAGTCAATCAATTTGACTTTTATAAAATAATATGCATTATTTGAAATTAACTCAATCGAAATGATCGACTCTATTGTTACAGGTCAGGAGAAACACAAACGGAGAACAAGGAACTGAACTTAATTTTTACTATTTATTTACAATCAAACAAAAGAAAATAAAACCCATATAAAAGAAACATCTGGTGGAAAAACTGAAATTAAATAAAACAAAGGGAAAGCCAACAACCTCCTGACTTTTCAATATATACAGAGTTATTACCAATCCGCGTCAGAATCCAATAGGGCAAAACCATCTCAAAGTCTGAATAACACAGATAACACAGATGTCACAGATAAAGTTTCATAAGCATAAAACCAAGATTTTGGAGCTTGGAGGCTAGATAGCCGGTGGGCATGACCCTGATGAGAATTCACTTCCTGAAAGGAAACAACTAAACACTGACAAACTGAACTTAAAGGTGGCAACACTATACAAGACTTGTTTACATAAAGTCTGGGATGATTATAGATGTGGCAAGCATTGGGTCAGCAACAAGGTCATGGTTTCATTTTTTGTGATTGGCTGGTGTCGTCAGGCTGTAATAAATCTGACTCATTCTGTTGGGGTTCAGCTCCATGTATGTTCCATCCTCTCCCGACTGGTGATGCCCTGCAGGAACAGCAGACCAAAGCTCACTATAAAACAACCCAATATTCCAGAGTACAGAACTGTTGGGGATGGGCGTTGCTTTGCACTTGCTCTGATCACCGGCAGAAACTATAGGACGCTATCATGGAGCCAGGACTTTCGTGGAATGCCAAAGCTAGCATAAGCCTTTCTTTCTTTCAATCTTACATTAACTTTAATCACTTTTATTCAAACAAAGCGAGAAGTAATTGTGCAGTAATAGAAGTTTTGTTGTATGTGTTTATTTGCCTTATGTACAAACATTGTTTGCCAGACATCCTCTAAACCAGGGATGTCAAACACAAGCCTTTCTGTGGCACAGTTGGTAGAGCGTTGTGCTCACAAGGCAAAGGTTCTGGGTTCAAATTCCAGGGAAAGCAGGAACTGACAAAAAATGTGTTCATTCATTCAAATGTAAGTTGCTTTGGATAAAAGCGTCTACCAAATGCATAAATATAAATATAAAGTAAACATACGCCCGCGGGAGGATTTAGCATCACAAACGTAGCATTTTATTTAATGTTACATATGTAATATTAAAGCACTACTGAATTGTTTGATGAGAAATTGTTTTTAACTAAGTAATCAGCCTTTCATTTTGCCACAGAGCAGCATATTAAATGACGGGTCTATTTTTTTCTCGCGGAAGAATCTCGGTGGTCGTCTCCATGCGCCTCTGGTATAAAAACGTTGTCGTTTTTGATGAGCAAGACTTTAGTTTCCCCATTAATTGATGATGATTCTGTAACAATTTGGCAAAAAAAGCGCTTACAATATCACTGTTGTGCTGCTAATAGCTTGTCATTATTTAAAGTAGAAACTTTCTGAGGCTGAAGTTTTAAGCTAAAGCTAATTGTTGTCTTAAATCAGAGGCAGATTTTATGCGGAAAATAAAACAGGAAATCAGCAAATTAAGTAGAAAAGTTTATTTTATGTTATGATTAAACCGTGTAATACACTTTTAGATGTATTCCATTTAACCTACTGTTTAGTTTTGAGTTAAACTGGATGCTCAGAGCTCAATATGTGAAGAGAGTTTTTATATGAAGAGAAAGGTTTGTTCATCAGAAAGTTTCTAGTTCTGAAAAAAAAAATATATATTTTTTGTCAGTTCTTGCTTACTCTGGGATATGAACCCACGGCTTTTACATTGTGAGCTCAACGCTCGACCAACTGAGCCACAGGAAAGCTCTAAGAAATATTAATAAAAGAATCGATTAAGATAATCAATTATTGTTCAATAGGATTTGTCTGCTACGGTCTGCAGAAGCTCAAATTGTGCTCAGTGCGGTCCGCGAGCACGAATGAGTTTCACACCTCTGCTCTAAATTTACCCTGTGACTGGTTTTGAGAGCTTTCCGTAAAGAACATCAAGGTGCACATCCTCAAACAGAGAGCACACAACGATTTTCTAAGCATGTAATTTTAATAAATATACAGTATTACATTTCTCTGTGTTCTTTATGTGTCCAAGTGGAACCAGACTTTATTAAATTATTGTTTGTTTGCACGTTGAATCTTCTGTTTTTGTGAATGCTCTCTGGTCTAGCAGTATTCAATTATACAATTATACAGCCCAACTTTTTAGTAATTATTAGCATTTTAGCAATAATTTTTAGTAGTAAAATATTCAAGAGGAAATGTAAAAAGCAGTGATGTTTTGCATTTATTTTAAGACATTCATTTCACAATAATTACAAAAAATGCTTTCCAGGAAACTGACCGTTCTGAAGGAGCACTGACGGTGTTTTCTTGCTCCTCTTCTTCTTGCAAAACACTGTGGTCGCCAGGAGGAAAAAGAAGAAGCTGAAGCCGAAACCGATGTATTTCACAGAGTCTGTGCTCAGCTCTCGACCTGTGACACACATATAGAATCAGATTCTTAACAAATCCTCCTGCTCCTCCTGAGAAACCTGACCTGGGGTTGAGAAAGGATGCTGCTCCGGAGCGGTGCTGATGCTGCTGGGAACATTGTCTGACGATGTTGTGCTGGGAACTCTTCTCCGAGTTGACTTCTCATCTGAAGATTGATAAGAATATTGATCATAAAGTCAGATTTTCAGATGTTCAGAATGTATTTCAGGACAGTTGCACACTGTATTTGTATTTGAGACGAAGGAAAGCGTTTCAAAGTGAAATCTCAACCCTTTACCGACGGAAACATAGATAAAGTTCAAACTGTTTTATTCAGAGCCGATCACTTACTGTTTATAACGATCAAAGAAATCTCCTGATAGTAATTATAAAACCATCCTTCCACTCCACACCAGTACTGTCCAGCATCCTCTGTTCTCAGATCAGTGATGGTGATGGTGAAGACCTTAGACCTCATGTTGTCCCTCAGAGAAAACCTCTTATCTTTAGATCGAGATCCTGACTGAACTATTTTGTTTCTTAATCCAAGTCGACAGCTCCCTTTACACAAATACTTCACATTTGACTCGCATCCAGCTACATATCTGCATTTGATCTCGAGCTGCTCTCCTCTGTTTCCTGTAACTGTTTCTCCAACAGCAGCTGCAAACAGAAATATAATCAAACAGATCGATTATTAGATAGAAACCAAACCAGAATCTCCTGAACTCACCCGTGCAGATGCTGCAGAAGAGCAGCAGATCTCTCCACATGCTGAAGCTTCGGGTTCATTCACAAACTCTGCTCCTTCTAGTTCGCACTGAAAGCTTTGCATGATTCGAGTGTTTCCTTCCTCTTTCTGAAGCTCAAACCACATCTGCCCCTCATCACAAGAGCTCATTGTCTCTGACTGAACACTGTTTCTAATAATCTCTCGTTTACTGAAATTAATGCTTCATTAATAGACGATGATTCAATTCGAGATGTTCCTGGGACTGCAGTTTCGAAAGGGAACTTCTTTCTTCCTAGACGAGCCTTGTTCTTCCTGCTGCTCCCGGCTTTTACGAGCCAATATTGAGATTTAGGTGTATTTATACAAGTCACCAGGAGGGGCAGCAGCGAGTCAACTAGCTTTTAACAGGTGTTCTAATCACGTTGTTTGGTGTGGCTTGGTGGAGGGAACATAAAGTTTTAACCACACACGCTCACGCCGTCTCACACATTAAACTCAACAACCTGTAATAGATTTGACCTTCCCAGTCAAAGATTCGGAACAACCCCATCAACCGTCCGATGTAGATCAGAGCTCGTCCTGACTGAAGTAGCGTCTCAAATATTTCAAGCTCGTGATTGTGGGAGAGACACCGGCGTCTGCAGCATCTGCAACACGTGTCGCACCCCGGCACTGGGTTGCACTCTCTAACCATAACCCTAAATCTAACTGCTCCATTCTCTGTTTATTTGAATGTGTTTCTCATAATGTTCCCTAACTTTTAATGCTTTTTTCACGTGTCAGGTGACCTTGAGTGCCATGAAAGGCACTTTGAAATAATTTATTATTATTATTATTATTATTACTATTATTATTATTATTAGGTGCGATGGCATCTATTGTTTTTGTTGGTGTTCTTATTATTCTTCCACCATTGAAGTCAATGGCAGACCTATGAACTGCTTAAATGTTGGCATCTGACCCAATCTGGACCCTGTAACTCGAACTCTACAGCGCCACCACTAGCCCAAAGTGTCACATCTGTTAATTCCAATAACTCATGAACCATATGCTCTAGAAACGAAATTCTAGCACAGCTTTTGGCACAGATTCCCTGGCCCATGTCAATTCCAAAGAACCCCATGATGTCATGTTTCAATTAGCCACCATTTTGAATAAACAAAAACATAACTTTTTAAACTCCTCCCAGATACTTTTTTCAATTCCCATCAAACTGCCACATCATCTACAGTCGATGCTGACCAAAAGTTGTCACGGCGGTTGGTTTGTCACGCTGACAATGGGAACATTAAATTCTGTTACTGACCCCTCCATAGCAACCAGACTTTGTCATAGCAACCATTTTGGCATATCTCAGCTAAGAAAAATGATTTGGGGGTTGGTTTGTATTTCTCATAATGGCACTTGGTAACCATTGCATTTTAACAATAAAAATACTTCTATGTTACACTTTTCCAAGCCAACATCAAATTTTAGCCATCGGGTTGTGTTTATTATTTCAAAACTTGACCTTTATGTTCTAAGTGTTCATCCCTATGGGCCGAACAACCACGACACGCCCCTAAATTATCAAATTACGAACACACAAGGCTCTGGAAACAGATCCCACTTAGAACATAAAAGTTGATTTCGATGATAAAACAGAGACGTGTGGAGATGTGTGTGATGTGTTACTTGAGTCAGGAGCTGGTTTCTCTTCTACAGGAGACAGCGGAGCTGTGGAAACATCTATGGTGGTTGAAACCACGAGCCTTCTCTCAGCTGATAAAAGTAGAGCAGGAAACACACAGATGGTTTCAGCCCCAGAGCTCGTCACCTTTTATTTCTGACAGAATCTCTCACCGGGTTTAACCTGCAAAGGAACCTTTGAATAGTCATCAACATGAAACTTCCTGTCCACTCCACACCAGTACTCTCCAGCATCTTCTGTTCTCAGATCAGTGATGGTGATGGTGAAGACCCTGGCTTTTCTGTCGTCAATCAGAGAAAACCTCTCAACTTCAGATGGAGATCCTGACTGAACTATTTTGTTTTTTAATCCATGTGGACAGCTCCCTTTACACAAATACTTCACATTTGACTCGGATCCAGCTTCATATCTGCATTTGATCTCGAGCTGCTCTCCTCTGTTTCCTGTAACTGTTTCTTCAACAGCAGCTGCAAACAGAAATATAATCAAACAGATTGATTATTAGATAGAAACCAAACCAGAATCTCCTGAACTCACCCGTGCAGATGCTGCAGAAGAGCAGCAGATCTCTCCACATGCTGAAGCTTCGGGTTCCTTCACAAACTCTGCTCCTTGTCCACATAGAGCACTGAAAGCTTTGCGTGGTTCGAGTGTTTCCTTCCTTTTTCTGAAGCTCAAACCACATCTGCTCCTCATCACAAGAGCTCATTGTCTCTGACTGACGACTGTTTCTGATAATCTCTCGTTTACTGCTGCAGCGTGAGTCAGAAGATAGTTTTCTTCCTGGACACTTCCCTCAGTTCTTCTGAGAGAACACAGAGGAGTCCCAGTCCCTGATGAGCCTAGAAACATAGTTCTTCCTGCTGGTCTTGGGTGTTCTCCAGACTTCCCCCTGGAGCACCTTCCCAGTGAGAGAACTGGAACAGCCCCATCAAGCTTCTCCTCTAGTTCACAGCTCCTCCTGACGGAAGAAGCTTCTCAAATGAGAGTCGGAATTCAGAACGACTGTTTTCCTTTTTGCTTTCTCTTTCTTTATGCATTATCTCGCTCTGTCCAAAAAGATCTCAGTTCCCCAGAGTGTTTTCTGAGCCTTTGTTTGGATTCTTCCTAAAGGACTCGCTCTGAACATTCACACTAGACATTGGTGCACCGTGTTTAGAATGTGCTGAGTTTATTTTCTCTCCTTCATTAGTGCATTCATTAAGAAAAGAACTGCTATGTTGTAGTTTTCCTTTAATTGAGGTCAGCACCTATGTTTGTTTGCCGTTAAGGACTTAAAGGGGGTGTGTGCCCTAGTCATGTGATTCACACCCAGTATTTCTAAACTTTTACTCTGTGTTTATTAATTCAAAGCCTGTCTGAAACCTTTATATTTTAGACGTGAATCCCAATGGAACGTAAGAACCAAGACACGCCCCTAAATCATCAGCATTACAGCGTCGGATGCACAGATCTCTGTCAGTCTCCAACCCTTCCTTCACCACAAGGATCTTGAACCACTTGGAGCAGGTTCTCTGTTCCATCCTGAAGGGAACGCACCCCTTTTTCTTTAGCATTCCCGGTTATGGATTTGAATCCCAGAGAACAGAAGAACTGATTACATTTATTTATTCGTTTGTATAAATCCCTTTGTATAAAAGCAAGAATCTAAAAGTTGCAGCATCACTTCAATTTGAGAAGTGAATATTAGCATTCGTTATGTTGCTTTTGTGCTTTTATTGGTGAGTCAATATGGATTTTCACATGTAGAGAATGATGAAATCACATTTGAACATTAATTTATTTACATTTTTATTAAAGAATATTCATTATTGAAATTTACTTAATTAAAGACTTTTGTTGTCGTTTACACAAAGCTTGGGATAGTTACAGATGGAACAAACATCAAGGCCTTGATTTCATCGTGCTTGATT